CTCTAATAAAAGGTATTAAACGCAACTTAATAATAATAATAATAATACATTTATTTAGATATTTTACGAAATTATTGCCTGTCACTGACCTCAGCATTTTGTTAATTATATCAATGTGTATACAATTCTGTAACTTTTAATCACAATTAATTGTATAAGAAAATAACAAAAAAAAAAGTTGTTTAATATGTTTGTGTTTAAAATTAAACTCGGGAAAAACGAAAACAAAAACTAAGTACCTACTTATATATTGTGAGAACCTTCGGTTTTTAAGTTATTCAGTCACACTACATATTTGAAAATCTGTATGCTTATCTACATGTACACATTTTATTGTTAATTTATTTGGGGAAGTTGTCACTGTGAGAATTCTACATTAGCTTATTTCGTTGGCCTAGTGTATGGTCAAGTTCGACTGTTGATTTTTTTTAAATATGTAATATTTATTTTCTCAAATTTTGACATTTTGATTTACTGTAAGAAAAGAAAACCATCAAAATTAACGGATTTGTGAAGTAACTATTCCCTATTTCCATACAGTTACCATTTTATGTCCTATTATTTACACTCTATCCTTTCCTGTATGTATAAAATCCAGAGTTTATATGCGCAATACGCGCGTAATTTTATGCAAACGAATTACGAGAAGGCCTCGTAAAGTAAATCTTACATTTCTTTGTAATGGAATCTAAAACTATAATCAGAGGGTCAACCAGAAAATAAATAAGCAAACTAAGAACAACCTCAAATGCACTCATTAATCGAAGAAACACTAATTTCCGGCACGATTAAACCCTCATTTAAAAAATAATCTCCAAGTTTCCGATAATTCATATCGACACCGCTCTTGCGACTTGACCTCAATCATTTTTTAAGCAATGTTTGTCCATTTTAACAATGTCATTATCTAAATAGTTCAGGTTCTGGATTATGTGCTCTTGTCATAAAATTACGATATAAAATTTGTTTATATTTTTGTGTCGAATAAACTGATTGCGTCATGACGAATAAATTGTGTATGTAGATGCTTATGCGCCGTGAATATTTCAATAAAAAATGTTTCAAAACGCATCGTTCTGCGAGACTTCGGTATGTAGCAATTTTTTTGATAAATACATACATAGATTTAAATTTTTTAAAATTATGCACAGATGGCTGCAAACCCTTAGCGACTGTACGGCATTTTGATTGCCACATTGAATAGACGTACACGAGACATACACGGTTACGTGATCCGCTACATGAACAGGTGAAATGAACGCAACAGTCCCGTTATTGTGGAGATTTCAACTCCGGGACAAGAGGGATGATGAAATGAGTGGCGGCACTTGACGTTCTAAAACGGCAAAAACAAGCTTTGTTGAGCGTAAATTGAACGTATATTTTAGTAATGTTGAAACTGAAATCATAAGTTTAAGGCAAAAATCAATTATAAAACAATTGAAAGGCTATATGTTAATGCTGATAAGAAGGAATGTTTCCAGCTTTTTATGAACGTTGGCCGAAAGCCTGTAGTACCTATAGTATCTAACCCTTGACTATAAATAAAATAACGAAAACAGCAAAATTGAAAAAAAAACCGAGTTAATACTATGTCAAGCATTTTAGCTTGAGAAAACTTTGTTTCCAAATTTGTGTATTTTTTGTACTGCAAAGTGCAGTATGTTCTTACTCTTACTCTCGTCTGTTGATAAATCTTAAATGAAAAGTACACCGTGACAAATTTCCGTATGATTTAAAAAATGCACTCCGTTTAAGCGTATTTTTCCTTAAAAAAAAACATTGGACTGTCAAAGCTTTTGTATTTGACTTAATTAAACGCTGGTATTTACATTTTTTTTTAACCCTAAAATAGACTTTAAAACATTGATTAAAATTTATGTATTGTAAATTTGTAACCTCTCAAAATATTTTTCGGTCATTTTGTGGTTTAATACTTACTTCATTTCTATATTCAACCATTCTTAGGTATCTATGGTTGCAAAAAATAGGAATTTCAAATCTCACAACCCATTTCAAAGATAATATCTGAAAATTTTACCAATAATAAGACACTACTATTGATTTAAAGATTATAGATAGGTACCTGTTAATTGGAACAGACGAAGATAACGACATCTTAAAAAATTACTTTATAAACTTTATTGAGAAATATGCGCTAGGTTGTTATATTATTTGTACTTTAATAATATCCTTTCAATTTTTAGATTTACTTGCGTAATATGTCTCCACAAAAATGTATGCAATAATTTATTTAATCTGATATCTTAGAAACGGTGTATCAATCTAATTTTCTTAAATTTGTAGCATTGCAGTAGTTTATGATTTACGATTGATGTTATCTTGCACATATTAAAATTAATATGTTATCGAAAACTATGTCCTGCACGAGGTTGGTTTTAGGTACGTCAGAGTCAACGAAAGTTTTGTGTAAACATCGTTGCACCAGTTTTTTATCTATTGGTAATGTACAATTATTTACAATTCATACAAAACGATAAATAAAAACTTTAAATTAAGATAAAGTTTTTGGCAGTTACAATTACATATACCTAAGGAATTCATTGTAGTTTCAGGATAATAGTAATTTTCACATACATGTAGGTATGTATTGTTGAATTAAAAATAATATTACAAGGATTTAGTTTTTTATAAACAACGGGTGTTCAATTGAAAAATCATTTAGAGAAGGCGTTGGAATTTCATTTGACACAAACGGCATGTCTGTTGTTATAACATCCATTTGGCAGAAACATAAGCTATTATATGCTATAACTATGTTATAAAAACAGACATGCCGTTTTTGTCAAATGATAATCCAATGCCTACTCTGAGTGATTTTTCAATTGAACACCCATTACAACACTTCCACAGCCTCTTAAAATTTAGAGGTTATTAAAAAATAAACCGCCAATCCGATTTACGGATTCTACTCGTTGCTATGGAAAATTGCAATTTAACACCCTTTAATTTTAGCAAGTTTTTACAGAATTGTCCCTATAAATGTCATAAGTTGGTTTAACGGTCATTAGAATTTCTCCACAATACGTCAAAACTTAAATATTATGTATACGAGATATTTCAGTTCTGAAACTTTCATTACAGAATGTAGATGAATTTCGAGTGGTTAGGTCACGTAAGTTTGAAGAGTTCAGTTTACTCTTTATCCTTTTTGTTTCGCTACTTTTCTTAGCTGCAATATACCTAATCCCTAAATGACACTATATTCCTATATACATACATAAATACAGTAGACAAACGTACCTATATATCAAAATCATAAACATTATGATAATAAAACAGTACTTTTAAAACGAAATAATTAAAAATATTATCCACCGTTGTCTGTTATTTACAATAAGTAGAATAAAATTTCTCATAGCTCAAATTTTAATTGTTTAGCGTCATATATTCCATTTATTAAAATTTTACAAAAATATATGTAACTTTTCGCAGCTAGATACACGTTTTATATTGTATCATTACTCCTTGAAGGAGATATAGGTCCACATTTTTGTTACATTTTGTTACATTTTCCTAAAGAAATAATGAGATTTAAATTCTTACTTATTTCAAGGTCGTTTTCACAAAACGGAAATTCTTTATCATTGTCTTGTTGTTACTATCGTTAGAAGGCACCGCTGCTTTCCTAATAATAAAAAATAAATAATAACGTGTTATACTTCACAGTTATGACGTATGTGACACGTGTCGCTTTTTAGGTTCTGGTGGTATATCACTCAAAATCATATACCTAATAAGAATTGGCTTGATGGATTTGGAATTTGGAGGGCACCAAATGGATTTTTCATAATATGTTCTAAACGTTATTATTTTTTCAAAAATATAATAAACTATACAACTGTATTCTACTTCCGACGTCAGTGAGATGATTTAATCTGAAGGATTCTGTAAATTTAGTGGATGGTAATTGTTAATGCCCATTCTCCTATGTCTGTTGGTTCTAATTTTATCAGTTTTCGTTAGTTGTCAACTTTTAAAATGTTTAAATGAGTGGAAGTTCTTCATGTTCAAAATGGAATTCGGCGGTTCGATCAACGGAGTAAAAAAAAAAGATTTCCAGTCGATGCCATATTTTAAAATATGGAATAGACTTTAAATTGTTTTTCTACTCCTTAAAATTTTTATATAATGCTTAGATACACGCAAAAAATTACTGCCCTATTACTTGCAATGGTATCAATATGTTATCAGATTTTAATTCTGCAATAGCTTGTAAGTATGTACCTTTTCATTTATGCGTTTTTTTTTGTGTAGTACATTGAAAACACGAAACAGAAAGATATGGTAAGAAAATGCTGCTGTATGTTTTTTTGAAAAAACTGAAACAAAATTAGACAAAAGACTTTGCATTTTGTTAAAATAGTTAAATAAGTATTTCTGGATTTACACGTTTTGACTTGTTATTAAAAAACGTAAAAAATAAAAAAAAATGTTTCATGGAAACCTAGATGGGTTTTTGACATCATCAGTGCAGTCTCTTTTCAATGTGAATATGAGTACCAGCCGAATAAAAGCGAATGTGTGTGTGTACAGATGCGTGTAATCCGTTGTTTCTAACGGTACAATAACCGATTAAAAAGTGAATTGACGTCCACTAGACCATATCTGTGAAGCAGTAACAGCGATTATGAGAAGAGAAAGTAGGAAACGTATTATTTTTGAAAGTGAAATTGTCGGTAGGAAGATGCAACTTTCACTCCCATCCCATACGAGCGTAGGGCATCGCGACGCGTCCGTCGCTAGCGTCGGCAAGATGGAGACCCGCTGGAATTTACATAAACAGCATACTTTTACCGTTAAGTTCAGATTGGATGCGATGTAGGTCAACTTTCTCTTGCCGAGAGAAGTGAAACCGCCATTCGATTTTTTTCGCACACGCGGGTGAACAACCTGCGTTTGCCGTTCAGTTGCGTAACGATTGTCCTTCCTCGTGCTAGGTATCTCAAGATAAGTGCATGGTGCAGCCATTGGCTGCCCGTGCATCGGCCTTTCGGACTGCCACCTCGCCAATGGAGAGAGCCATGTCTTGTGCGGTGAAGATGGCGCGTGTGCCCCACTCAACTTCCTCTCCACTATCAAACGCCTGGGTAGTAGCTAGTGCACCAGTAGTATAGTTCGTGCCCTACTTTGTACCTGGATTATGCTACGCTCATAGCTGTATCTGTAGTACAACTTTTACCGTTAGTGTACGCGGTCGGTCACATCGTTCGCTGTCTTACCTGCTTTTTGCTGTGAGTGTGCACGGATTTCAGGAGTGAAGTGATACAGGATTAAGCCCTCGTCTTTACCGGTTCGTCACACCGCTACATTTTTTTCGCATTTATGCTGACTGCCCGTTAAATGGAAAAAAATGTCCTCTCTGGGTGAGATTCTCGAAATTTTACCAATTTTTAACGCGAGTTCTGCATTCATAATGTATGAAATGTAGGTTTGGCAACCGCAGCTTTCACTTCTCAGTTTCGTAATGTTCTTAAAATTTTAACAATATCAAGGCTCTGTGAACATTGACTTTGGCCATTTCGAAATCGCGGTTTTATTATACCTACCTAAAGCCTACACTTATGTAAACAATTCGCTTTTGTTCTCTGAAATCGACGACTTGTTTACTTCTGTATCATCAACCTTTAATAATGAAAATCACTAGCTGCAATTAAGTTACCGTTATACCAACAAATGCGTATCAGTAATTCACAGAAATGAGTTTATAAAATCGCATGATGCACTTTTTTTTTAATAAAATGAATAACGAATCACGTGGAGCCTACACTTATTAAACGTCCGGAAATGCTTCGACATAACCTTCTATTTATGTGCATTGCCACCACACAGCAATAAGTACTTTAAGAAAAGAAAGTTTTAAGGCGGTGAAAAATCTCGTAGTTGTTCGGTTTTATCTATTATTACACGCTATCATGATGGGCTATAAATGACAAAGCGACGCTATATACAACGCAAATATTATTATTTAAAAAAATTCATTTGTTTTTTACAATGGCCATACACATAATATGTTACATAAGAAATTAATGCATTTATGCAGCCGTTATCTAGGCCAATAAAATTACCAAACAAATTACATATGTATTTTTTCAATCAGTCATCAAATTATTTCATTGCTGATACTAAATAACAATATAATTTCATTTTATTAAATACTTATTAAAACCTGTCGTAAGTTTTTATGACAATAATACCAAATTGGTTTCTTTTTTAATAATAGAAAAGACATTGAAAACTAAGGTTTAGTTCAAAAGACATATTACAACATTACTGTAAAACTACTGATGACGCCAGCTGGGTGAAATTTATAAGCTTTGCAACGAAGTAACCATGAACTTTCGATGTGTTAATCATGGAGGAGAAAATTTGTTTGAATTTTTTATGAACGTTTCATATTATTTTTACAAAGAAAACAAAAAATGGCGGCCTTATATTTTTAGTAGATAATATTTCATGTAATTAATAAGCACATTTATAACTGTATCGTCATCGACTTCGGTTTTAACACCTACAAGAGGGTAACTCAAATATAATCGAAATTTCTAATTTGTAGCATTATTTGTCTGGGTTTTGCTTGTAAAACAATGGACAACAAAAAGGTGTCTATCGTTCGCTATACCTACTTATTGTTGATTATTTGAAAAATATTACAAAACATTATGTTTAATGATCTCAGAAGAAACTCACTCATGTTATAAAAATTAAGAGTAGTATTTTCAGTTATTTATCAGAAAAAATTAATTTTATCTCTACAAAATCAAGCAGTTGTCTATCAATAGCTGATTGTTCGCCTAAAAATCAAATACTGTGAACTATAAAAAAATGTATCTATCTATAATACCTATAACTTTTACTGGGTAATAAACAGAACTATATTATAAGGCGTTAAAAATGTCCAGTATCGTGTTGTTTAGGTATGAACATTTAAAATTGGTATTTGTAACAATATTAAGGTTTGGCCCAGTGTAGATGCACCCTTTCACTTTAATTCCTAAACAACAACGTAGGTATAATTGCATTTTGTAGATGTTAAATTCTGTGAAATAATATTCTCATTTTTAGTCAGTTTTTTATTACTTTTCAATTTTAGAGATATGTACTCCCTAATACTCTGTACCTACATATTATCTACTATTGCGATACCTATATATGTATTTGTGTTTAATTATAGATGTCTTTTTATCGTATAGTCGGGATATAATAAAGGATCGTTAATAATACGGAACTAGTTCGATATCTGTTTCCTAAACTGTCCATCACAAGCGATGCTTAAAATCTAAAAATCTTAAAGCTCATTTTCTGAAATTTTGTTGATACATCTGTAGAATTTCTGTTTCCAAACTGCAAAAAGCATAACAAAAAATAAAATAAAAATCAAGTTCATTTTTATAATTATCTTGTTGATTCTGTGTTCAGAATAATACTTACTTGGTCCATAAAAGAGTATCTAAATATATTATATTTTTGATGAGTCTAGTCAAGTCCTTTCATAACTGAAGCAGGTAAGTCTTATTTTTTCTGAAGTATAAAACTCTTGTTTTAATAATATTATCAGCCAAGTCATAAAAATTACAAATTTAAAACGCCTACCAAAATTTGTCTGTTCATCCCCACCAAAATTGTAATGCCGTTAAATCAAAATTTTGCCAAGTACATTTTATTTAAGAATACAAAATACTATATTTCGATACCTGTGATTTATTATTCTAGCCTTATTTTTAATATTACATATATTCAGGTTTGGGAAAAAAAGTCACATTTCATCTTAGAAACTATAAAACTGATTGCTCCGAAATTCTGCAGACTCGTTAAGTTTATCGTGAACATGGTAAATGGCTAACCAGCTTGATGACGTCATCTGAAAATTTTGATAAGTAAATCTCATTTGTAATATGCAGGCTGTAGCCTGTTTCTATATTACCTATATGTAGGTATATGCATTTTCTTCATTCGCTCCATAAAAGTTAATAACTAAGCTATTTATTTTATTCATAAAATAAAAAATGGATTCTCTCATTTTCCTCGATTTCTGGGAACACAGTAGCTACTCTCCTTATTAATATTATACACTGCATGTACCTATCCAAACTGATATATATTTTCACTACTAAAAATTGATAATGTTATCAAAAAATTGTATAAAGAGAATCGTACTTAGAATATTGGTACAGCATACTCTTTAGCTATAATTTAATAATTCTACCCAATTTTTATTTTAACATATAACCTCAATAAAAACTAACATTCGCAGAATCAAATTTTATAAATTGTCCCAGAGCTTAAATTTAAATGAATGAGTTTCAGAGGTGCGGAAAGTTTTGTTTCAATATCTTTGTGCCAATTTTTTAATGTTTCAGACTGATTTTGCACATTACTTAAATATAGCAACAGTAACTCAGTACCTATCAAAGTAAAAATTTTGATCGTCACATGCATAGATACATGGACTAGGACGTTATTTTAATAACTTATGATGAGGAAAGGTGGGAGAAGACCTAGGTATAACTCTTCCTGCTCCACGAAAGTTTTTTGGAGAAGTTGATGATTATTGTGTGTAAATTTTGCGTCATTTAATAACATCATACATATTATGGTTTAACAAATATCTGTATCTTTTGTATTGAATTAGAATTATTCAACTCTCTGTATAGAGTTTGCAAGAAAAACATACTTTTCGCAAAACCTATGTAAATATTTACAAATAACAGAAAAAAGCTGAAACCCTAGTCATATTCGAGTACACAGAGAAAATCGTTTTTCAATGGGTCCTTTATAACTTATTTCTAACATTAATTCGTCTAACTGATTTGCTGTTACTTGGTTCAAATAGTAGTTGATAGCTCTCTCGGTCTATCTAGAAACATCCATCATCACTAATAATAACTGAAGAAAGTTTTTTTGTATCAAATATTCGTGGGAATCAAAGTTCCACTATTTGCTTTCGTGCCTACGTAACATGGACGGATAAAACAATAGACTATCTTGCATATAAATATTGTTTTTATTGAGTTTATTTATGCAAATATTTCTTGTAGGAATTATGACCCTTACGCGTGCCCCGTGTGAGCTCGACAAGATGAGCCTCTTCCAGGACCTGAAACTAAAAAGAAGAAAAGTAGACTCACGGTGTAGCAGTGACGGTAGGTCAACTTTGTATAACTACTCAACTGTAGCTTAGAAAACACACATCTTTTCTTTATTTTTTTTATTTTTTCAATTAAAGAATATCCTTAAACTTTACAAAATTCACTAAAAAATGTGTCTTTTTTAACGTGGTTGTGTGTCTCACCAACCATAAGTCCAGTACTACTGTATAAGACCATTTTAAAATATTAGAGTAGGCAGCCATCAGCAAAATTTGCTTTTAGGCAATGTCTCTGTCCGCTTCTAGGCGAATCTGTCGCCGATACTAGTACATCCTCGCCAGATCTCGTCAGCCCTTCATCGCCTAAAATGTCAGAAGCTGTTCTGAATCCGCCTAGCCCCGACTCCACGCCCATCCAAATTCATCCCCCGGAACCAACGTTGGACAAAATCTCCAGTCGCCTCGAGGATTCCGGAGTTTTCGACGGTGGAGGCACGGCTAGCGTCATTCGAAGTCTTCCCGTTGTGCGATCGCAAAGTCCGCCTCTCCGGCCTGCTCCAACATCTAGCCCCTGCCAGCCCCCGCGTCCTCACAGTTCGCCTGGCCGCCCTGCCAACGCATCCCCAGTCATCATTCATAACCCTTCAGTTGTACAGCCCACGAGCTCTCCCTCCAAGTTATCGATGGAACCGACGTCGTCCTCGCCCTCCCCCATGCCTCCCAAGCGAGGGGTCATCATCACTCACCCGACCTCCATTGCGCAGAGTCAGCTGTGGATGAAGCACTCCCGTATTAACGGGGTTAAACCTGAGCTGATTGGGGGAAACTTCAGTGGGTACCCAGAGCTTAAATCGCCAACGGGGGGGAGCCCCATGAGGCCTGGTGGTACCACTCCTGTACGACAAACGCCCACCGTCATCATGGGTGAAGCCGGGGGTGTTAGAACCATGATTTGGTCGCAACCTAGCATGAGCGCCAGCCCTACCTCACCGGAAGCGCAACACCACGCAACCACCAGCTGGGGAAGCAGCACCAATGTGTCCAACACGGAAGAAAGCGCAGCTCAGATGTTGCTCAATTTGGGGCAAGATAGACTGAGATCCCCGGTGGCGAGGACGTTAGTGTCGCCCCAGTCACCTTCCACTGCTCATTTTGGAGGTGCTCCTTTGAACATGGAGAGGCTATGGGCGGGGGATTTAAGGCAGCTTCCGGTGAACCAGAGTCCGTTGAATTTGTCGTCACCGACTCCGGGTCCTCCGGTGTACTCAGAGGTGAAGATGAGCGAAACAACAGGGGAGACACAAGAGGCAGCAGAAGAGGAGGAACAGCCTATGATATGCATGATCTGTGAAGATAAGGCCACTGGGTTGCATTACGGAATTATTACGTGTGAGGGATGTAAAGGGTTCTTCAAAAGGACGGTGCAGAACCGCAGAGTGTACACATGTGTGGCGGATGGGAACTGCGAAATCACCAAAGCTCAAAGGAATAGGTGTCAGTACTGTCGTTTCAAGAAGTGCATAGAGCAAGGAATGGTTCTGCAAGGTAGGTGATTATAGAGTAGTGCGCATGGGATTCCTCAGTGGAGGTAAATTATAACACTTCGCTCGTTTAATTTTTTAAAGGGTCTGAATTAAATTAGTCTTCCCCAACATTTTGAAATTGAAAGAAACGTTATATTTTTTAATTCAATTACAATAATTCATTATTATCCTATATAGGTATCTATAGCAAATTTTAATTGTACTTTTACCACTGATTATTATTAAAAAAAAATAAGTAGATAGATATAATTTCTTTTACCAATTTGGAGCACGATTGTAAGTGTTTAAAAAACTATTACCTACTTTGCCCACTTTTGGAAAAAATACGGCTAACGAAAAAACATTAATTTTTAATAAATACTTATTTTTCATTTGTAACTTCTCTAAAATCGAATTTAAAACACAAAAAAGACAAAATTTAAACATTTGCAACATCGATCAACGTTTTAAAAAAAAAATAGGGTTATTATTTAAACAAGCCACAAATACACAAATGTCACAAATAATAACAAAAACTTTAAATTTATAGCAAAATGTATAGGTACTAAAAAGACCTGTCTAGCATTTTTGGAAAAAAAGTCATTTCGTTTAAATATAGTTACCTATTCCGTAATTTTATCAGAAAGAAATTGAGCTGAGATCATGATTTTTCTTTTTACCATCAAATGATTTCAACTATTAAATAAACTTCTATAGGTACCTACTTATTAGGATTTCACGAAAGATATTTATTTTGCCAAATTTTACTTTTAAAAGTAGATTTATACATATGCATTTTAATTAAAACCTGTCGCTGAGGAAAAACTATGTACCAACTTACATATAAAATGTTTCAAAGTATTTTGCGCTTTTAGTCGGTTATTAGTCCCTAGTTCTTATTTGTACTTGCCATTTCTTCTTTGGTTCCTAACCCTTTTTATTTCTCATTTAGATTATTTTCAGTATTTTTTTACGCCCAGTGTATTTCCGGTTTCAATTTCCTTCAGTACAATTGTAATAAACTGTGGCGTTAATTCGGTTGGTGATTTTAAGTCGACAACCTTTAGTAATTTATAAAAATTTACTTGTTTGTTTTCTAGTTAAAAGGCCGCAGTTCCTAGGCGAAAATCATTTTAAATTGGTTAACAACATAACTTGTTCTTGTTTAGTGTTTCGATACTCAGTTCAATTTCTGTGTTAAAATCATTAAGACTAGTCCGACGCCGATAGTATAAAATAATCTTTGGTATGTTTAATTCGTGAACGCGTTGTTATAATTTTTTCATCAAAACATGAGTGAGGTATTATCATTATTTACAAATTCCATACACTTATCATTTTCTTTATTTCTTTCATTTTGTTTAAATATACTTACCCGCCTCTTCATACTCGTATCGTATAGTTTCACGTTAATTTTCGTGTCTCATGTTGTGTTCTGTGAAAATGAGAAAGATAACTTTTTTAACGCGGTGGTGAAGATGTGACGATTGTTTCATAATATTTTTGCACATATACTATATTACTGTGGGGGGCAGTTTAATGTTACTATTAAAAAACATCCGAATGAAACGCTATTGGTTGCATATCGTCTAATACGTTTTACTTATTTCCAGCCGTGAGAGAAGATCGAATGCCAGGAGGAAGGAACAGCGGCGCAGTTTATAACCTGTACAAGGTGAAATATAAAAAACATAAAAAGCCTGCTTGCAAACAACCACAGAAGGCTGCGGCGGAGAAGAACATTCTGAGCCAACAGTTCAAGGTGGAACAACCATCCAGTATTCCAGCTAACCTAGTCAACGGGACCATACTGAAAACAGCTTTAACGAATCCCAGTGAAGTTGTTCGTTTGAGACAAAGGTTGGACAGTGCAGTTAGTAGTTCGAGGGACCGTAATTTCTCATTAGAATACTCTTTATCTATGATAAAAACACTTATAGACTGTGATGAATTTCAAGATATAGCTACTTTGCAAAATTTGGACGATTTATTAGATCATAATACGGACCTGAGTGAGAAACTTTGTCATATCGGTGATTCTATTGTTTATAAACTTGTGCAATGGACGAAACGACTTCCATTTTATTTAGAACTACCTGTAGAAGTTCACACTAGACTCTTAACGCATAAGTGGCACGAGCTTCTCGTTCTCACGACGTCGGCGTACCAGGCCATTCACAAAACGGGTGATCAGTTAACTACTGTTATTAAAACGGACTTCAACCATGAGGTAAGGAACCATCGTGTTTTTCACTTTTTTTAACCAAATACCTACATATCAAATACTAAACTCAGAACAAGTTGAAACAATATTGTGCTATTCGAGCACGGGCATCGTGGACTCAGTTGACTAGAAAAAGTACTTAAAACATATAAAGAAAATAAAATTGGTAATTTATTTCAAGACTGAATTGAATCAAATGCGGGACTAAAGTTAATTCATCTAATAAGTGAATACACCTTTGCTGTAAACTAAAAATGGAAAAATTTATATTGGCTTTGCGTTATCTTTAAAACTCTCGTAAGTTCCTGTGCAACATGTTCGGAAAGCCACAATTATCACTCAAACGAAAACATGCGTTTTATCGCTGATGACACAGTTTGATATGATTTTAGTAGTTCCACGAACTTGTTGCATTATTTGGAGCGATAAAAACCCAATGTACGGGATGAACGAAAGTGTGCTATTCAAATATCCCGCGATCTCTTAACAGTAAATTTAATCGTTTCCTGACCCGTTTTGATATGTCGCAACAAAGACAAGCTAATAAATCTTAATAAATTTAGAGCTCGGTTAAGTGGGCTGGCTTATCGGAAAAGAATTATTAATTGTCGCAACCTCGTCTTATCCCTGAATAACTTTAAAAAACACTAAATTTCAACAACAAATCCATTATGTCAATTATTGGTTTTCTTTTTGTACAATATTCATCTCTTGCAATATCGAGAAAAAAAAAACGAGATAAGATAACACTACAAATATTTATGCATCCTACTCTATGTGTAAAGTAGATTAAACTATCAATCTGACGAAAATAGAAAACACATTTAATCTATTTATAGGCACAGAGTTGTTTTTAGCCGCCTAGGTAGCCTTCATTTTGTAAAATTTCGATTTTTGTTGGACATGAATGAATTAAAAAATTGCATAAGGAAAAATATGGGTTTTAATTTTATACTTATAAGTTGTTGTTACTAAAGTTTATAGAAGACCTTGATATCTGAAGATAACAACAATAATGAGGCAAACTTATTTCCTATGTTATTAGACGTGGCAAAGGAAGCTGTTAGCAGATGACAAAATTGTGTGTAATGTACCGTTAATTTGAAATTATCTGGTAGTTAAAAAGCAAATACGATTCTACTCTGTTATAATGTTTCTTCGGTTAATCTGAATGTTGGTCTGTATGTATAGTAAATAAAAAAAAGATTAACAAATGTCATTTTGCATATTTAAAATGTATCCAACAATAAGTCTGTTAAGAAAGATCGTGCAGGTTCGGTCCGTTAACATTGATTGATATTTTATCAATGGTACGTGGTATGTACCTACATACTTAAATTTAGTTTAGAAATTTCAGCAGTATCTACTGCTTGATTAGAAACAACCAAAAATTTATAATAAACATAGATACAGGTATTTTCTGTTTTGCTGAATTTAAGAAATATTTTCTCCTGTATGGCTTGATGATACAGCTTTCATTGTGTATTAGCAATCAACATATAATATCTATAATTGATCAAGTGTTGCCATTGTTGTCTGTACTTATGAACCAAGTCAAATCTTGATCATGTGAAATTTGTTTTGTACGTGCAGACGCAGAAGAAAAAGTAACATTCAAAGACTTTTTTAGCAATATGAAAAAATACTGTTAAAGACTTTGTTGAAACACATATCTAATTGTAACAATAAAATTCAAGAAATTAAAATTTAAAGGAATTTTTGCATCGACTGTAAAAAATCAAATGGTAATTATTAGTTTTTCTCTTTTTAAACATGCTGTTGCCATCAACTCAAGACTATTGTAAACTCTAGGCATTACCCCAAGAGAGTACCATTAGAATGTGACTCTTTTTGGTTACAAAATGCACATGTATTCTTGGTTCATACAAATTCATAAAATGAGCCTGTTATTGTTTTAATGTTGGCAAAAAAACTCACTTTTGGTTTTTTTTATCAGATTCGTATGTATACGTAGCTGGATGGCCTTTTAGACATAAGACGTTTAAAATAAAGTTTATGGAGCGGCCGTTGAATCGTTTAACCATTGAACAGACATAAAAAAAAATTCAAAAATAATGACAAGGAAGACTACCTACGGACATGTCTAAAACTAGTAATTTTTTGTCTCATCATGTTTGTGTTTTAAGAGGAGATTTAACAGTATCTTGGGGTAATTCCTAGAGTATATCTATATGCACGTTCTGAACATTTTTAAATGCTTCAACATTTATTTTTAGAGTAAAAAGTTTCTGCTAGTGTCAAATATAGGATAAACTTGGGTATCATACGGATAATAAAACATGCTTTCTAATGAGGGATTACTCGACTCCTAATGCTATTTAAATTTTTTTACCTACATATATGTCATAGTTTTGACATTTCAAGGGCTCAGTGCGTCACTATGACCACACTATTACTCATCTGTACCTATATTTTAAATTTCAGAAGTTCTAAAGGTAACCAAGGCAGGGCTGACTTTAAAACAACACTGTATAATAGTAGGTATTACATACTTGCTTACTACAATGTTGAAAAACAACAAAAATTTTTGAATTGCTGTCGAAGATACGACAATGTTATTACAAATAAAAAAAATCCCGAAATGCCGAAACATGGTGTATCCATACCACGTTTCAGCATTTGGGATTTTTTATGACAACTTTAAAAACTATTTAGGTTTGCAGATAAAGTTGAATCATAGAAAAATGTAAAAACACGCTTTTTTGTCGGTAACTTATTTTGCTATAATATCTTAAAGATGAAGTAAAATTTTAAAATTTTGGTAGCTGTGTGTGAACAAAGGTCAATAATGAAATTTTAAAAATTTAAAAGTACATCATTTCTGAGCAGTCTGAGAACCTAACCTTTAGCAGTTTATTATTAATACAAAAACAATGGCTTTTTATCATATATCTAATATTACTATATTATTGCTAACTGGCTTCAAAAGAGTCCGAAAACACAACGTCAGAGCAATATATCGGACCTCTCTGTCTCTCTGTGGTACCAAACAGTACATTCGTACTTGCACAATATTCATTCTCGTGTTGATCGGTGTTGATCGAAAAAATGAATAATTTCGATTTATTAATGGATTCGGTTTCAACTTTAGATATACTCGTAGATTTGATGTTTTATCTTCTGAAAATATTTCGGTTAATTATTATGTATACCTACATACCTGTATCTGTTAGATAACTAAAGTTCTGAATGTTCTGGAAGATTGTCTGAATAGTGTAAATAATAAATATGTCGCGAGAATTAAATAACTGATTCTAAACGAATTTTTGCCATTCTAAACGTTGTCTAAACTATAGGTATTAAAGAGACGTTCTCTCATTCCTGAGATACAAAAAATTCTGCATGCATCTTAGTGGTATTCTGTAATAAAGATTCACTTATATATTTTTTCTAAAGATACTTCAGGCGGTATTTTTTCAAAACAAAGATGAATCATTAGCTTTTTAATGAAGGTAACTATAGTGCAACACTAACAACAAGAGTAACCCATTTGACGTCTAAGGTTAATATCAATAAATGATAAAATTAAAGGCAAGGAAACATGCCACAATATAAATTTCCAGCGAGATTTAGTTAGCAAAATTTTGAGATGGTACCGTAACATTTTTGATGAGCACGAACAAGAAAACTTTAGTTAACGTTTTACCATTTCCGATAGTCATAAGTAGAGGAAAGGGGGGCAAGACGGAGTACTTAACGTTTGAAGCGCAATAAAACTGAAACTGTTGTATTATTATGATCTTTTTTATTTCAATATCTAATCATCTCCGCGATAATTAGTTATTTACTTTTGTTAACTGATTCAATTTAGGAACATTTGTTACATGATTGAGTTGTAGAATATCCAAAAGTAAAAAAACCCCTTCCATGTAGAAGCAGTAGGTACCTCTCAAGTTTTCACAAACTACCTCGACTTTTTTTCTAAGGTTGTTTGGGAGACAGAAAATGTTTTTGCTGCTAGCATATAACCCATTTTTTCTTCTACGACAGCATTCGCTATATTTTTCATTCTCTGTTTCCAATCACTCCTTCTATTTGTTTTTCTTTCATAATTGTTCATGATTCTAAAACAAATTAATACATTTAATTGACGTGGCATCAGACACTTAACGATTATATTCATAGAGAGGCAATACGAAGTGTCGTTGCCTATCATGTTCAGTTGAACGTAAAAAAATATTTAAGAAAAATCATGCACATAACAAAGCCAAACAAGTTATTACCTGTTGACTTAATCATTAACACATGGGAAACACTTTGAACTAAATCTAAACTGCTAAACCGATTTCCGTAAGATACCTACACGTTGAAACTAAAGTCAAAAAATTAAAAGGAAATTGACACATAACTGTTTTTTTTTTTCAAATAGCAAATAAAATAATTGTTTTAGCTAACGGTGAATCTAATTTGCCTTTGAATTAAAATGTTATCGTTTTGGTTTTTACCCGAATAGTTTTTACTTCCTGGGCGTACGCTATTGAAATATGTACTTTTACAGGGTCTATTTGACCAATGGTTCCCGTTTTCTCATCATATCATGCCTCTTAAATGAAACAGTACGTATTTAATAAATGCACAACACACCATCAAATTGATTTAACCCTGCGCACGATCCGGAAAAATAACTATACAGTAGAACGGTATTTGTAAGATTTTTGATAACACTAGATATGTAAGAATAACCAAAAATGTTTAAGAGGAGTCGCTACGTTTGACTCTTATGGTGTTGTCAATATCAGAATGTTATATCTCCATTATTAACACATTTATTGTTATGAAATTTTTAATGTAACCTGTCCACAATTTTCACTATATAATGCAAGGGCAGCTTTTTTAACAGTTTATTATCATATATTTTTTTAAATTTTGTTCAAATTTTTACTTCACATATTTTAAAAAATGAATATTTCAGTTATTTATGGAAATTTTGGAAAGCGGTTTTTCAGCTTAGAAACCTTAGAAATCGAACCAGATATATTTTCGACTTTATTTGTTGGAATTGAGCAGCTTCTACGACACAAGCTTTTGTTACTGTCTATCGTCACTAACAAAAAAAGACGACGATTTATCTGGTACGATTTTTGCACTTTTGTAAGTTGAAAACAGTGATGAAAACCGTATTCAGAAATTTCCTTAAATAATTGAGATATTGATTTTTAAAAATACTTACATTATGCAAAAATTTCACTAAAATTAAAAAAAAGGATGATCACAAACTGTTTTTACCAAAACTGCTCTTGCGTTATATAAGTAACGAAAGTTATGGGCAGCTTACATTTTCAATTGTTGTGAATATAAGTCTGTTGGTAATGGAAATATTATATTCTGAAAATGTACCGAAAATTCCATACAGAAAACGTAGCGCTGGCCTTAATAACGTAATCCTGATCTTCTTGTTCAAATGACAAGAACATGAAACAACTGTAAATAGATTTAGTTTGATATTTAATTTTTGTATATATGTATTGTAGTGTGAATCATGACTTTATTTTTAAGGTGACCTATAATTCTAAATAAAGCAAGAACATATTATAGTTGGTGATCGATTAAAAGATGGAACTATACAAATTTCAGTCAACGTGACTAAATTTCTTCGTACCTAATACATGCAAACCAGTTTTTAAGTATAAAAGATGGTTTTAGTGAAATGAGCGTGACGTATTCGAGCAATATATAATAACTTTTGAACAAGTATGTAACTCTTTAAAATAATACACCTATCTATGGATACCCTGCCCTATTTATTAGAGTTCAATATTTTTATGGAAAAGCAAATATGGTAAGATTTATGGCACCATTAAACTGGTGATCAAAACAAAATGAACCTATGTGTCTTTAGCACGCGACCTTACAATAACCCAGCAGTTTGCAGTCAGTTTAACACCGCTAAGGCTATACCTACTCGTATTTACATCTGACAGTACTAATGATTAGTCAACCTATTGAACATTTTATAAGAGACTTCATTTTCTAAGGGCCACATAACCTTCGACGATTTGTTTTAGTATATAGTTGTCTGCAATTACAAGGCCACTGCAAAATCCGAATAGGTCTTTACTATTGTATATTGGAGCTTAGTTTACTTGTTATGTGAAATTGACGCGGGTTTGAATATAACAAGTTCATAAAATAAAAATAAATTAATCAAATAAAGGCAAATCGTTCAAAATTGACAATAAATAGTCACAAAACGTAGAAAAAAAAAAGAATTAGAACCAGCACTGGCTACCTAGTACTAGGCTACTACTTAGTTTTTACAATCAGTAATTGATTTATACGCAAGTAGGATGAGTACATCGTATTTATCATTTTTTTGATAATAAATATGTTATTAATTTATGTTACTTAAACTAACGTCTTTGTAAATCACAACTGTGCCGTTTTCATAACAAAAAACCAAGTTAAAGGTGTGTGAGAAAAATCGACATCAAAGTCGTTTTTTGAATTCCAGGTAGAGACGAATCTTTGTACACTTCAAACTTGTCTTACGTCCATGATGGGAAGGGAAATAACCATCGAGCAACTTCGCCAGGATGTTGGTTTGATGATAGAGAAAATAACCCATGTGACGTTAATGTTTCGCCAGATCAAACTAACTATGGAAGAATACGTGTGCCTTAAAGTAATTACAATGCTAAATCAAGGTATACGATAAAGTATTTTGTAAGAATCAGAAACGCAGTGTGATCTTATTTCAGCTAAACCTGCCACTAGTTCCGGTAACAATAGTGAATTGGACAGCATACATGAGCGATACATGACGTGCCTACGTGTTTACACACAACATATGTATCCTCAACAGTCGCAGCGATTTCAAGACTTACTAAGTAGACTGCCAGAGGTAAGTAGGTATCACAAGTAAAAGTTAAGCGAAAAGCGAATAATACAACTTGTTATATTGTACTGTGAAGAGTAAACACCGATGTTAGCTTCATTTTTTTGGGTAGAGGTAAAACAAACTGATGGTTGTTGTTGTGTACTGAACATGTAGTGGGTTGTTGAAGGAAGCTAGTTACCCTACGAGATTATCCATTTTTAGTTGGCAAGCTTCTGTATTACAAAAATCCTAAAATTATTATCGGTTAATTGAAAATTATTTCAATGGACTGTATACTCGTACAATGTAGGTATTCAAAAAAAAAAAAAAATGAAAATATAAAGATTTGACAAAAAATATTTTCCACTGAAATAAGTCAATCGCATAATTTTAAAACTTTCGTAAGTATTTTAAAACAATATCTACGATTACTTATAACTAGAGCTGTGCGGTCGAAATTTAAACGCTTCGAATCGACCCCTACTACGGCAGACCAGTGGCTCGCAGCCGATGTTACGTATGGCGAAGAAATTTACGCGAAAAATAATGTTCACTGAAAATCAGTTGATGTTTTTAAAATCCATATCCACGAAATAATAAGAATAATAATTTTAATAATGGTCAAGTGTCGGTCTCGTTGACAATAAAACGATTGATGTGAATTATGAAAAATAATACACAATGAGAAGCGAGAAGCGAGGAAGGCAAGACTGCAGCGGCCTGCACTGCTGGCCTGATGGGACGGATAGTGGGGATAAATAAATTTCGACCGCACAGCTCTACTTATAACGTTGTACGAGTACCTAAACTGCATGCACAAAATATGAAATAATATTTAGAAGAACTGTGACTACATACAAAAGGATTAAAAATATTTTAATCATAAAACCAAGCCAATAACACGTTGCTTTTTTAACTGGCACATTTTTTTTACGAAATACTTACCTACTACTTCAGCATTGTATTTTCATAAATATTTGTTTCCTTTTTCCTATTATCTACCTATTTGTTTTACCAATAAACTAAATTTATAGTAATAACTTTCAAGTCACGGGAATTTAAAAGATTACTGATAGTCTAATTGCTTCTGTTGTATCATTTTTTAAATTTTGCGTGGAATTTGTTTCACACTTTTGGTTATGTGATAAATATACTGAATGCTAACATTGCAAAAATGAAAGAAAAAAAAAACTGTATTTTTATTTTTTTTATTTCTCGTCGTTTGGTAGGTATCTGTCTGTATCTGCCTGTCGTCTATTTGTCGTCTGTCTGTTATCTGTGATTTTTTTGCTACTCTGTTAAACAAGTAGGTATACTTAGTAATCTTCAAAACTATTTGTTAAGATTTTGCAAAGTAAATTCTACTTTAAAATGTTCAAAATAATATGTTCCTATTATCTGTGGTTTGTGAATCAAGTCTTATTTCTTTATGCACAAGTAAGTTTAAGAAAATATAATAACAGAAATAATGTAAAAAATTATTAAAAATTATCTTAGAAACTAAAAAATTGATCGAATGTTATCAGGTGTTTTTTTTTAGAAAAAGTAATATATGTAAATATGTAGATAATACCATATAAAATATTATACAATTTTGATTAGGACAAGGGTGGTAAAAACTCAAGGAACACAAGATGGGTTCACAAACAAACAACAAATTATGTTATTTTATAAAATTTAAATAGCATTTGTCATTCAAAATTTTGAAGTGATCATCAAATCTGCTGGTGAGGATGAGCAGACAAATTTTGGGTAGCATTTTACCATCTGCACACGACAATCGGTCTAGTAGTTGCGAAGATAATCTTTTTAATAAAAATCGACACAGTCGACAGGCGATGGACAGAAAAAAACGGAAGATGTATTTTCCATATTCTAGGGGTCATGACGCGTTAAGAAAACATAAAAAAAGTACAGATTCGCCGGATGAACCCTATTCGTACATTTCCGCTCGAGAAGTAAAAACTGATTCCTCTGAAATTTTGTACATGAAGTGAATTCATTTCTATTAATCCCTTCTAAAAAGTAGATCTCAAAATTTTGGAAAATCAACATAATTTGCGAAGTTCAAAGGTAATAGATACTTTTCTACGTGCATTTTCTTCACACATTCTATTTTTTAGAACTATTTGTGCAGATTGACTAAAAAATTAATGAATGAAGTAATTTATTTGTTTGATTGGGTTATGTCTCATTTTTCCAAAATTATAAAAAAGGGTATTTTTAGTAATAATTACAATGGACCCAGCCGACCTGATGTACCTACTTATTTGTTCTTGCAAACAAGTTGATGTCATCAGAATTTTGCTAATAAAACCTACAATGTTATAATCCGCCCCTACTATACTTTTAATTTAAAGAGATTGCCACAAAAAAATAAAACTCTCAATATCAATTAAAAAAATACCGATTTAAGCATTGAAATCATTAACAAGATTAACAATAAGTTATTTATTCGTTCCCTGGAGAAACTTGATATAGGCATATCATCTGCAAAAATTATTAAATTGTTACCGATGCACCTTGAACTGTGTTGTTGTTAATATTAACAACAACACAGTTTTAAGCATATGCTCTTGTTTAAAATACCTGCATCTTAGAAAAAAATCAGTGAATGAAGTTTTGTATAAGATCCGTTTATGGCCGCTTTCGGTTTTTTTTTTCACTAAAAATTTTACATATCTAAGTAAATATTTAATTTTCCACGCATTAACATTAAATGAATACATCAACAATGAAGCTCCATAATGATTTATTGGTTCAACAAAAACCGAAACTTTTAAAGTTTTTTTTTCCCGACCCTTCTCGTAAGTCGCCTTTACCAAGTCACATTTGACGAAGGTAAGTTCAAATTACTAATCGTGTTCTGGCTGCCTAGGAAATAAGGAAATAATGTCACTTACCTCCCTAGGCCTACTTACCTCGCTAGGTAACTGAAATCACAGGACTCAATAAAACAACACCGTTTGATTTTACGATTTTTTGTAACAAAAATTAACAAAATGTGTTTTGAAATTATCTTTAATTGATACCCTTAGCAGCACGAAGGAGGCCAACTATTTTCATTCGATATTATGCATTTTGACAATATTGAATTAACTATTTGTTAGTTTAGCGATTGAGTCAGGAAAAAATAATATACATTATGCGGGGTCTCATGAGTTTGAAAATCTCGGGAGCAAGCTCCCTCGATTTACAAACTCTATCGCTCGACATGGTAAATCCTGTTTACTTCCCTTATAATGTAGGTAATATACCTACTTTTCTATTAAACACAACGGAATGAAATAAAATCTTCATACAATTTTTTTTACGACTCTTTTGACTAATTTTTCTTTTACGTACCTAGTTCCTTTTACTATTTTTTGTCGTAAAATGTCTTTAATTTTAATTAGCAATCATTTGCACGAATTATTTTTGCTAAATTGACCTGTTTAGTTTAGTTAAGAATTTTCAGCACAAGACATCACAATAAGCGATTAAATCACAATGTTTTTCAAATTTTTTAGACCGATTATTTAGGAGCCATTTGATGACTAGCTTGCAACGAGATTTCGCATATAATTCCAAAAAAATCTGTTTTATCGTATGGGCACGTATAAACTGCAGCGGGACTAATCCGTTAATCTTCCCCAGCTCATGTTGTAGGGTTTTAGAACATGTAAACTGCAACAGATAATAAAATCGGGTACCAGCCCCTAAATATAGGGTTACTCGTTTACCTGTAATGACTAGGAATTACTTACTCGAAATTCATATCTTCTTCGACCCAACAAATCTGTGTCTCTGATGGTTCTTCTGCAAAACCGGCATTTACCAAATCAAAAAGAATGATATTTCCACCAATCCCCCATATACAATCATTATTACATTATTACAATTCTAATAATGTAATTAATATAATAATATGTAGGTATCTAGTTGTTTTTTATTTTTTCAAAAAGAAAATCGTTAATACAAATAAAATTATTGTGGACGCTGACGCCTTAACAGAAATGTTTGCAGTATTAATTCTAACCATTAGGGTAAATGTGTACAAGAGTACGCACTTAGTGTAAAACTGTCAACAACTTTTTAATTTCTTTGGATAGACAAATTTTATGATATGGGTTCGTTATATACATGTTTAGAGATCAGATATATTTAATTGTACGCCCCAACACCACTATATTTTAAGAGTAATTTCAATATTTGTCAAGATGTGTAAATGCGCACTCTTAGACAGTTCATTGCACAAGAGTGCGCATTTGAACGCTTATGAGTACGCATTACATTTTATGAAAAAATATTTGTTTCTAAGGTGAAAATAAATGGGAATAAGTGACTACAGACTACACATAAAACGGGAGACCTATTTCTTCGTACTCTAGGGGTCTTGAAAAGACGAGAAAACGTAAAAATAGAGAGTCGGTCGACGGACTCGATTACAACACGCTCAGGAAGTAAAAATAAAAAAAAAATCACCATAACCACCACCCCACAACTCGAGAAGCAGTACAAAGTAGTAGAGTTAAATAATTCATTATCGTATGATATGTATCTCCAAGACTATTAGACTACGTATTGCAAGCAATGCGCACTCTTATACAATACCTCGCTGCGCACTCTTGTACATTTGTACATAACCTAATGTTTTCAAAGTTAAAAGCTTTTGATGGACAGAAAGTGTAAAACTGTTAGTGTATAACGACAGCTTAAAAGTTACAACTAATGGAAATTATTACTGTAAAATAAAAGAACTGGTACGTACCTTACAAAAAACTAAAACTATGAGCGGTAAAAATTACATCCACACAACGTGTGAACATAAAATCGTCAGTACGACCGAACTATAAACTATATTCAGGTCACTTTTGCACCTTTATCTCAGGTTTAACATTAAATTCTGAATGGTATAACTTCATCTTACCCAGATGGCACTAATAAGCAGAAATCATCAGTGCGTACTCTTATACATATGCGCACTCTTGTACACATTTACCCTACTAACGAAACCTACAACGTAATATTTTTAGAAAAAATTA